ACCGTTATCAACCATTTGTGTACCTGTTGGTTGCGGCGACAGCTATTCCGCCAACTTTGATGCCAACGTTGAACCAGTGTACACCAATTGCATGAAAAAGAATGTGTTGATCCCACATTGTGTGGTGTCGATCAGACGTGGAAGCGCTGGCTTATGGACTGTCAATTGCTCTACAGAACCCGTGATGTTACCAGATGGTCTAAAGTTAGCCGTCGTCAGTGGACAACACGAGGCCTTGCTGGTGACCGAGTTTAGAGATGCGCCGGAAGAGCATCGTAGTCACTGTTTTGAAACAGCTCTTCTGTCAATGGTGAATAAGTCGCTGAGCACAAGTGAACGCCGAACATTGGTCAATGTACTTTCGAAGCACGTCTCTGCATTCGACTTTGCGCAGAAAGACAAAGCGCCCCTAATCCCTGCTTCTCGGACATGTCACACTATCAACACGGGTTTGGCCAATCCGGTTAGACAAAAGCCATACCGTGTTTCGCCATCCGAGCGGCGGATTATTAATGAGCAGGTGAACGAAATGATTGAAAACGGTATCATTCAAGAGTCGGTAAGTCCATGGACAGCTCCAGTGATTCTCGTTAAAAAGAAAGACGGATCCTGGAGATTTTGCGTCGATTATCGCCGATTGAATGCTGTAACAAAAAAAGACGTGTACCCACTTCCACGTATTGATGATGCCATAGACTGTCTGCATTCGGCCTCTTACTTTTCCTCTGTAGACTTAAGATCGGGCTACTGGCAAATTCCCATGCATCCTGAAGATAAAGAAAAGACAGCCTTTGTAACCCCTGACGGCCTTTTTGAATTCAACGTGATGCCATTTGGACTGTGCAACGCGCCGGCGACGTTCGAGTGATTTATGGACACTGTTCTTCGTGGCTTGAAGTGGAGCATTTGCATGTGCTATCTCGACGACGTCGTCATCTTTGACCGCACCTTCAGCGAACACAATTCACGTCTGGATACTGTACTGACTTGCATAAGAAACGCTGGCCTTGTTCTTAACTCAAAGAAATGCCACTTCGGAGACCAACAAACCCTTGTTCTCGGGCACCTAGTCGATCAGGAGGGCATCCGTCCAGATCCCCAGAAGACAGCAGCCGTTGAAACATTCAATGTGCCGCGCTCTGTGAAGGAGCTCCGCAGTTTTTTGGGGCTTTGCTCCTATTTTCGCCGCTTTATACCTAAATTTGCCGAGGTCGCGTATCCGCTGACATGTTTGCTACGGAAGAATACTCCCTTTGAGTGGATTCCGGAGTGCGACTCCTCTTTTCGTCAACTGAAGTTCCTCCTGACGTCGCGGCCTGTTCTTCAACACTTCAACCCATCAGCTCCAACCGAACTGCACACAGATGCCAGCGGCATAGAAATTGGTGCCGTCCTAGTTCAACGCTATGGTACCTGCAAGCACGTGATTGCATACGCAAGTCGCTCCTTGAGTAGGCCCGAGCAGAATTACACTGTCACAGAACAAGAATGCCTCGCGGTAGTATTTGCGATTCAGCGGTTTCGGTCTTACTTATACGGACGCCCTTTTACAGTCACCGACCACCACTCATTGTGTTGGCTCGTCAACCTTCGGGATCCTCGCGGCCGTCTAGCGCGCTGGGCACTTCGGCTCCAAGAGTATAACTTCATAGTCTCGTACAAAAGTGGTCGACGACACGCCGACGCAGATTGCCTTTCGCGCATGTCACTGAGCACTACAGAGTGTGACGCCGATGACCTCGATCACCTCGTAGCTTCTGTGTCACCAAAGTTTCTCGACCTCAGTACTTTCAAAGATGAACAGCGAAAGGACACCAGGCTATCATCGCTTTGCACAGCTCCTACGGCATGCCATTTCTGTGTACGCAACGGACTCCTATATAAGAAGAACTTTTACAGCACTGGCGCACGTTTCCTCCTGGTAGTGCCAGAAACCCTTCGAACAGCCATTTTAGGTGCTATGCACGACGATCCTACGTCCGGACATTTAGGTTCTGCGCGGACGCTTTACCGTGCTAAGGAACGCTTTTATTGGCCAGGAATGCGACAGTAAGTCGAGGCGTATGTGGCCAGCTGCACACAGTGTCAACGCCACAAACGCCCGTCTACTGCTCCGGCTGGTCTTCTACAGCCCTTGCCACCTCCAAGCACACCTTTCCAACAGGTGGGCATTGACCTCATGGGCCCTTTTCTAAAGTCGGCTAAGGGCAATCGCTGGATAATTGTATGTGTCGATTACCTCACGCGCTACTGCGAGACTGCGGCCATACCAACCGCAACTGCCAGCGACGTCTCTGTGTCCCTGCTGCAGCACGCTATCCTCCGACATGGCCCACCTCACGTGATCATCAGTGATCGTGGGCGACAATTAACGGCAGACATAGTAGAAGAGCTGCTTCAATTGAGTGAGTCCCGCCTTCGTCACTCTTCGCCATACCATCCGCAAACAAATGGGCTCACGGAGCGCACCAACCAAACAATTGTAAACATGCTCTCTATGTATGTGGCATCCGACCACAAGAACTGGGATGACGTGCTACCATTTATAACGTACGCGTTCAACACCGCTAAGCACGAGACAACACGCTATAGCCCCTTTTTCTTGATGTATGCACGACCGCCACGCCACACACTCTACGAAGTTTTGCCATTCTCGGCGCACGAGAATCTCTCAGTCCCCGAAATCCTCTGCCTTGCAGAAGAGACGCGTCGTATTGCTCGTCTACGGACTTTGGCATCACAGGAAAAATCGAAGGTACGCTATGACGTCCGCCACCGGCCTGTAACTTACCATCCAGGTGACTTAGTGTGGCTGTGGACTCCGGTACGAAGACGCGGGTTATGCCAAAAGTTCTTGGCCACATACGACGGACCGTTTGTCGTTCTCGACAAAATCACGGAAGTCACATACACAATAGCTCGCCTCACGAGAAGTGGTAGAAGAGCCGCTAAAACCCAAGCAGTACATGTCGCTCGACTGAAGCTGTACACACCAAGGTGAATCGGTTACCTCGCCCGGCGGGCTTAGTCTGCGAGGGGAGGAATGTTACGCATGCCTTGGAAGAAAACGAAGATGGGTGAACATGCTGGCTGCCCCAAGCTGGAGGAAGAAAGAAGACGACGACACTGCGATCATCGACCTGTTGGCCGCTCCGGCGCTTCTCTTCGCGACCAAAATAAATGGCCCCCTTCAGCAGTATACGTCCTGGTCCTCCTTGTGCGTTACAATATATATATATATATATATATATATATATATATATATATATATATATATATATATATATATATATATATATATATATATATATATCGTCGCAGTCTGCCGCGCGAGTATCGTTCAGTCAGACTGCAACGATATCCAGGAAAACTTGGCCACAGATGAGGTTACCGCGTGCAAAACCTAAACATGATTCCGATGATTCAAACAACACGTCACCTCACTCTATCAAACACTATTAGGTCTCTTATTCGTGACTCTGGAAGCTCCGGTGAGCGCACTGAACCACTCATTTTCGATAGCTGTGACTGTAATACACAGAAATGGGTCACCGCCACCTCTCGCATTAAGAGCAGTGGGCACTGCCGTTCTCGTCTTGGAAATCTAGCCTTTCGTCGCTAAGGCGCGCAATAGCACAGTGCCGAAGGAAAACAGCGAAGCTGCAGCGCCAACCATATTCGGAGATGCGGTCGCGAGTTTCGAAAACCGCTCATTGCTTATTCAAGCAATATTCATCCAAACGATATCGAGGGTTTGACACCTCTTGTTCCCTTGTACTTTGCCATGGGCAGGAACTGAACCGTTATCCGAAGGTCGCAAATTCGGTTTCCTGCCCGCGGCAAGTTATCTTTTCATCCACTTTTCTTTCTTCGCATTTACGTTGCATTCAGGTCTGGTAACTTCGCCTATATTATATATATATATATTATATATATATATATATATATATATATATATATATATATATATATATATATATATATATATATAATATATATATATATATATATATTAATATATAATATGTATATATTATATGTATATATTATATATATATATATATTATATATATATATATATATATATATATATATATATATATATATTAACGACTCTAAATTATTTATAAAGAATAAAACGTAGGATAATAATTAAGAATGTGACTCAACATAATTCACCTATTTTAGCGTCATTTCGTTTTTTTGTCACTGTTAAAAATATTTCACTAGTTAAAGTTAATTTGTGGATTCATGTTGTGCTATAGGGGAGACTCGGCAGTTAGGCTCTCTGTACCTTGTACTCTTAATATCGGCCAAAATGCTCGAGAACGTGAACTCCGCAACCTAATGCTTTGTACGAATGACTAACAACAGTTGAGGGTTTTACGTCCCGAAATTGCGACATCGTTATGAGAGACGCAGTAGTATAGAGGGGCCCAGAAATTTTGCCCATCTGGTGTTTCTAAACGTTCACCTAAATCTAAGTGCCTCAAGCATTCTGCCTTACTTTTGGTCAGCAGTCGAGCACCAAAACCCCTAGACCTCCGTGCCTGGTACAAATTAAAAAAACCAAGTCGGATAAATGATGTAGAGAATGCAGGATTTTACATGTGTTTGCTTTTAAAATTCATTTCGTCGTTACTATTAGTTTTTTTCTTTTCACTGTCCACTCTGCCCGTTGAAAAGACAGATAGCTACGCAGTGTACTTATCTGCATGGCAGCTTAAGTGCCATGCTTCTTTTAAGGCTCCTCCTCTGCGCGTGCATAGAAGCTACACAGGAGCCCGGAGAAGTGCACAGATAGTATGATAACTAAGCACTTAGAAAAAAAAGCTTTCATAGCTTTCAAAAAGCTTTCAAAATAGCGAGACAAACTAGTTGCAATATAATTTAGTTGAGTAATAAGACGTATTTCGTAACCATAACATTGATAGCCAAAACTGCAACCTGTCGTAAACTGTTTCACTGTGGGAATTGTGATTATTATTATGTTTTCAAGGTGCTCCAAGAGCGGTCTCTGACGTTCATCGCTGGGCCATAGAGAGCAGTGAATACGGCAGTCACGGTGACCAGCGCGAAGGTACTCTCATGATTCAGTCACAGTGAAATGCATGCCGAAAGCAGGAATCGCCAAACAGTGACAGAGCTTATAATGCAGAAGTAGAAGAAAAACAACTAATTTGCAATGGCATGTAATGTTATTTTTTCAATATTTTTCAGAGGCCGATTCGGAACACTCGAGAGGATGTGCTATCGAAGATGCGCTCCACCGATATTTCACGTGTGGCTCAAATTTCTTGTGGAAGATGGTGATTTGGAAAAGACACTTTGCAAAACACCAGGATGTTTACAACCTGGCTGGAAACGAAACGAGCCCGACAACACCTTCTATGAGGATGTTGGCCAGGAAAGCGAATGAAGACGACGAAGTCTGCGAGTTAGTACTGCGAGTTAGTTAGTTAGTACTCGGTGGTGTTACTAATTACAGTGTCCTCTTGTGCAATCCAGATTTCTCCTGCTCTTTCCAGTCATGTCTTGTATATTATTAATTGTTTCTATCAGTTTAGGTCTGGCTTGGTACCAAACAAGTTGTTGATAGTACCTGCTGTCACTTTCTTGATTGCGTAATTGTATATTTCTATTTTTATTTTGTTCCCGCTCATTGTTGCGGTTGCTTTGTGGACGTATTTGCGTATGTTCTCGCATTCTTTTATTTGTTCTGCCCGCTCCTGCCAAAGGCCTTTTTCAAAGGCTGGCAGTAAATCTGAAAATAAATAAATAAATAAATAAATAAATAAATAACCGACAGGGCCCATTCTAGTCAACAGCGAGTAGAGTATTAATAACGCTTAATTTGTTTCTCTACCAGGGCAATCAAAGAACTCAAAGAATGCACGAACGAAATCGTATCCCACAGCGAGTGCAAGAAAGTGGATGGGCTCTCCACAAAAATGGTCTCCATGCAGGAAATGCTGGTAGGGGAGTCGGCAAAGTGGGCCTGCAAGTTCTTGCCCAGGAAGAAGCACGTCATCTATCCGTCGTACAGCAAACGTAAGAATAAGCGAATGTATAATTATTAAACTGTGGGGTTTAACGTCCCAAAACATCATTTAATAATGAGAGACGCCTTAGTAGAGGGCTCTAGAAATTTCGACCACCTGGGGTTCTTAAACATGCACCAAAATCTGAGCACACAGGCCAACAGCATTTTCGTCTCCACTGAAAATGGAGCCGCTGCAGCAGGGATTCGATCCCGTGAGCTCCAGGTTAGCAGCCGAATGCCTTAGCCACTAGACCACCGCGGCAGGGCACGAATGTTGAATTAGAGCCTGTAAGAAGTATAGGTGCTTCGTAGAGTCTCCAGTACATTTTCCAAGGATAATAACATAATAATGAATGTTAGTTCCCTTTAATCGCAATAAAGGCGGTGCCTAATTAGGCACCGTCTTTATTTTTTTCATTGCTTGCTTGAAGAGCTAGTCGTTTGTTGCGTTATGATAAGCAGTGTGACATCACCAAACGTCCTTACAGTTGAAGCACCTCACTTCCTCATAAAAATATTTTCGTAATTGTAAAATAGATTTCTAGACGACATGCTTTTTCCTAGTTAGGGCAGACTTTTCGAAACTTCCCTGTGACCCACTGCATTGTTCATGTGTTGTCTGATGTATCAGAATAGGCACAAATTACCTGCATAAAAATAGAAAAGTCCTGGTCCTGATAGGAGCTAAACAAAAAAAGCTTAGTCAATGAATAATAATAATAATAATAATAATAATAATAATAATAATAATAATAATAATAATAATAATAATAATAATAATAATAATAATAATAATAATAAATGTGTCGTTACAGGCCAAAATCTCAATACGACTGTAAGGCACGCCGCAATGTAGGGCTCGGGAAACATCTATACAATAGTGTTCTTTAAACTTGCACCAACATTGGTTTTTACCTGTATGAAACTGTAGCGCATGTATATATATATTGCGCAAGGTTTTACTACTGTGCGTTGCTTTTTCGGAAAGTTCGGACACCTAGAGAATATTTGTCCACGATATTGTGTTAGTGTCGTTTCCTCCTGCGTTGTAAGAAATAGAGAGTTTTAGTTTAGGATAAGTAAGGCTGTACGTGCGCGACGTGCTGCGTGCTGTGTACGCTACGTTTAAGGCTGCGTGATGATGATTAGTGGAGTTTTGTGGCGCAAGGGCCATGTGTGGCCAAAGAGCGCCATGTCTCTGATGTGATGTGCGCGATGACAAATGATTGCGATGGCAGTGTGTAATACGCCTGTATAAGGGCTTAAAATCACGTGCGGTACAGAATCGTAAAATGTGTGTATAAATTATAAAATTATGACAGTGGTACGTGATTTGATGCACGGGTGTGGAATGAATTGCAAGTGACCATGCTATCTACAAGTGAGTGATTGTAAAATAGCACGAATGCCTCCTCCACCCCTTTGAAACCAAACTGTGAGAGGCAGGTGCTTCTCAGAGTAGCTACTGCAGCAACAACATCTGCGGAGAGGTTGTGCTACGAATTTCCCTTGTATATGATGCTGAAGCTTTGACTTTCACCTAAAACGTAAATAATGAGTGATATTTAAGTTTAAGGCTGCGTCCTACAGAATTAGTTTACCGTGCGCAACATCTGAAACGTGTGCGGCACCTGAGCGTCGACAGGCCGGCCTTTGAGTGTTGTTTCCCGCCATCTCGTGGAGAGGCAAGATGCTCAAATAACCGATATTCGTCGACGCAATACACAAATCAAGGCATGAGACAAGGCATATTTTTCGAGGACGAGTACTGGTTTGGGGTGTTGAGGCCATAGGTCAACTAGCAACACGAAGGACAGAGACAGCGAAGACGATCACTTACTGCGAATTTAACATTTATTGTTTGCTACAGACGTTTTCTAAGATCCCAAGACGAAAAAAAAAAAAACTGGGGTTGCTCAACGCTAAATACAAAAATGCCCCCATTGGCAGGGGCGTCTTCACGTGGCATTCCTCACGTCGTGATAGCTGCTTTCAGAATGTTGTGGGCACCGTGTGCGAGAAAAATAAACCGAGATTCGTAGAACATGTACGTGCATCCACATGCGCACCAAATGCGTCACCAGAACTAACCTTTACTTTCTTACAATTTGGATGCTTTTGCAGGCAATCATTTTACGGTGGACACATCCACCACCACAGTTCAAAGGGATCACACACGCGACGCCCCGTACACAACCGACTATTTCGTCACGGTGCTTCCCGTCACCATCGCGTTCCTGCTTCTTCGTAAATGACGTTGTCCAATCGTCCAAGGTTACGCTCCAGCTTAGCAGATATCACAATCCACTTCCACCTGTTCACTGGTTGGCTGCAGGTTACTTATTTAAGTTCTAAATGCACGGATGCACACGGACTTCGTTCACTGCCACGACCACCATATAGTGTTGTCAGTCGCAGCCATCTTGTCTGTTCTGGTCTCAGCTGTTCGAGATCTGGCGAGAGCTACTGCTAAGGTACCCAAAGGCTGTAGCGTGCGCAGCGTAAGAGCCGAGATCTAGTGTGCGCATCCCTCGCGTGCGCAAACGCACGCAACTCTCTTACGCACAGAGTTTCCCAAAATTAACTAGAGGGCACTCTGCCGCTGCGATCGTTCAGCGACCATGGGAATGATGGGCACACATTTGCCTAGTCTTCGTACTTGCGGGCGGCCAATCGTACTTGCGGCTTCGCTTATTGCTGTGTTTCGGATTAGTATTGAAAGAAAGATTCAACCCTTTTGAACTTAGTGACTTGATTCGAAATGGTAAGCCTAAAACAATATGGTTATGAAGCGCAAACGGGGAACATTTGCTAATTTATGTTTTTGTGAAAAAACAGCTCTAAGCCATACAAACACACATGGAGCCAGAAGCAAGCCAAAAGTACGAAGATTAGACAAATGTGTGTACTACCCATCATTCCCATGCTCGCTGAAGAGCCGTGTATTGCAGCTCCCATAGACACTAGCGCCAGAGTTCCCTCTAGCGTATATTAAGAAACTCCATGCTCTTACGTACAGCGCATGTGCAGCCGTGCTCCCTCTCGGGCGACGCGCGCGCTAAACTAAAGCTCTCTAATAGCGCGTTTCCATACAGAACAAAAATCTTCGAAACCGGGTGGCTTAAGAGATACCATGTCGCGTACTTTACTTGAATATGTAACTAACTTCTGGATGAGACGAGTGGCTGGGTTCAACTATACAGAGGAGCGTATATGTACGTGCGTCCATGCCTATAGAGCTGTGAAGGTAGAATATATCACATATAATCGTTGCTACCATTGGACGTTTAATCGGTGATTGTGGTAAGCGGAAGATGCTGTTTCGCGTTTTTGCCGAGAACGTTAACCGAGTCGTTTTACAGCGAAAGCTGTTATGAGATCACAACTCGGGTCTCGCACAGCACCGTAGTTGTCCGCCGCCGCCGGTGTCCGTAACCACATCGCACCAGTGACACAGTGGGGCTCGAACCCGAGTCCGCTGGGTACCAGCCCAGCATTCTAGCACTGAGCCACGCCAGTGCTTGGCACTTGTTGGCAAACTTGCCTTAGGCAGGCTTGATGTCAGGAAAGCAACCGCTATAATGCGACTTATAAAGCGTTTTAAAACAGCGAAAAAAACAAGCAGTCGTCGCACAATGCCGATAGCATAACGAGTGGGTCGTCCAATGCTCCTACCCATTGCAAAAGCTTGCTTTTGTTCAGCTAATAACTGTGGCACATACCCACTTCAGGCATAATTCCTCGTTGAGTCAGCCACTGCATGAACAATTGGCACAAAATTCCTGGCAACTGTTCAGCAGATACCACGCTCCTCAGAAGAATGACGAAAAATAGCATAGTGAATGCCAGCCTACTACCCCAAGATTCTTAATATTATTGCTTTAGTGGGCATCAAGCAAGTGTGCTTGCAGCAGTTACCCTATGAGTGTTTAGAAACAGCTCTGAAAGGCCGCTCTTCGAGCTTTCGCTATGACAGGGCTGTGCCTTCCGCGCAGGCCTGACGTTTCTTCGTCTTGTCCAACTGTTTGACTGACAGGTCTGTGTGGGTGAAAGTTAATCTTAAAATAATAAAACTAAAATAACAAGCAACGCCCCACCTGGTGCACCGAATCATTGCAGGCTACTGAATTAAAAACAATGAATAATACAAGCGTCAAACGGTCATTTTGAAGAAGAGAGAGAGAAAAAAACTAAAGTAGAAAGCACCACTACCATTGCCAACCACCTCAAAAAAAAAAAAAAAAAAAAAACGAGCGAGGACCTCAGCGATATACTGTACAAAACTATATAACTTAACACACACATAAATATTCGGACTTGGTCTTGAGTCACCGATTCTTTACTTCAAACACATTTTTTTTTGCGCTCGTTCGTTTTTCTTCATCTTGGTTTCAATCTACCATCTTCCACGCTGAATCCTCCATATTACTTTTCTTTTTCTTACATGTTCAACTAGAGAACCTTCCTCCGCCAGGCTGCTCATACAGGAAGCTTGTCAAGCGTTTTTCATACTGCGTGGTCAATTTCTTCTCAAGCTTCTCCATGTCGAAGGACACCGTGCAGGCGTGCATGTGAGTATTAAGAAGCTAAAACATTGGGACTAAGTGTGCATGCCACCCACATGACATTTGCCGAAAACAAGCGATGTATGGGAGAGTTCATAACAGTATACTTTTAGTCGCACAATACGAAACTATGTTTTTTTTCTGAATGATTTATTCATTGAGTTTCATAATAGTGCACTAGAGGGAATATTTGCCAGTTTATTCAGTGCGTGAACATAGGAAAAAGGAAACAGGGTAGACAGAAAGAGCGCCGACTTATAACTAACTTTATTTCACAGAGCGGCAATTGAATGATTGATTGATTTGTGGGGTTTAACGTCCCAAAACCACCATATGATTATGAGAGACGCCGTAGTGGAGGGCTCCGGAAATTTTGACCACCTGGGGTTCTTTAACGTGCGCCCAAATCTGAGCACACGGGCCTACAACATTTCCGC